CAGCATTTATAGCACGTTTTCTTATGTTTTTTGGCATGTTTTTGGGGTTTTTTTTTGTCTTTTCTCATTTATTTTTTTAAGAGTTGATTTGACATCGCCACGACTGATCAAGATGGCGTTTATTTGATATCTTGTTGATTTTCCCTATTTTGACCTTCAGATTGGATTTGGATAACTGAGTTGTGTTCGTTGATAACTTTTCACGTCGCTCAAGTCTAATTGTAGTTTGTTGGTGGTCTTTAAATAGTTTGATCCCCTTTTATGGTTCGTTTGCTTATGCGATCAGATCTGGTTGTATAATCTTTGTTCGAATTTCTTGGCTAGATTTAATCTTTCCTTGTATAGTCCTTATGTGATCTTAAGTTGCTAGTTTTGTTTCCATGATTATAGGAAATTTTCCTAATTATGTACTTAATTTTCGATTGTGATTGTAAATATTTATTGTAATTTGAGATATTTTCTATTTTGAACAAAATTAGTTACTTCTATTAAAAAAGTCTTAGTTAGGTCCTTCAAAAATATGTATAATAAATTATTAAATTTAATTATATTAAAAATTTATATTATTTTAGAATTTAGAAACTATTTAAGTCTACTTTGAGTGTTCACATTCTTTGAGTTTAAGACTTCAATCAAATTACCATATATTTAATTTTTGATTTTATTTATGTTGAATGTTTTCTTTTTAAACATTTTTTAATTCAATTTATATTGATGATTTTATATTAATGTATATTTATTACATGAATTTATGAATTTTCATCTCTAAAAATAAAAATTCAAACATAATTTTAGATAACATTATTATCAATTTATTTTTTGCTTGATATTTCACGTGAACAGGCAAATTTTGAGGATTTATAATTTTTTTTATTAATATGATATTTCAATATATAATTTATATTAAAAATTATTAAAATATTTTAATTAATATATATATTAAAAATAATCCTAAAAAAGAATATTGAGTTTCCCTGGCTGATTCCACGAGATAATGTTCTCGAAATTTTTTTTTCACGAGATAATACTTTGGACATATTATTTGCTGATATAGGGTTAATTCTACAGTGACCAAGGAGGTCCCAATGCCACCCAGACCCATGCCACGTTGTCATGATGCCATGTACAGTCATGCAGAGACTCCAAGCTCGCCCGGATGCCATGGCGATCACCAAGGTCGTCCGGATGACATGGCGACCTACGACAACACTGTGAAAATCACTCCATTTAAGCAATTAATATGGGGAGATCATTATTTCGTAAAATAAACAATTTGAGAGTATTATCTCGTTGATTTTGCCGAGTTTCCTTATTACTACAAATTATACTGATTTTTGAGATAGATTATCACATGGTTTAAATTTCTCATGTTGAGAGAGAGATAGAGAGAGAGAGAATTTGATGAGAAAGAAATATTTATGGTTGAAACGAAAAAAAGAAATTGTAATATTGTAGGGTGATTTTGGGCTTTGGCACCTAGGTAAGTGGCACTGCCAATTCAAAGTGGGACCCGATCTGTAATATTAATATTTTATTAATTTAGGTAAGACAGAGTGGGAAAGGAATTTTGCTGCCCGACAACGAAGTCAGAGAGAAAGAGGAAAAGTCTTTAAGTGACGCACAGTGCATGGGTCTATCAATTCTGTTCCACTAATCATCGCCCACGTGTACTGTGGGTCAATCTCAGTCCTCCGTTTGTCCCTGTCACGGGTGTGTTGCTTGAAAAACACACCTTGAAAATGCGGTTACAATAATTAGTTCTTTTCCCTTGTAATTTCTCTGTTTATCACCCGTCAGTCCACATAGACCTTATATCACAACCGTTGAATAAAACGGAAGATGATTGAACTTATCTTCCATGTGTAAGGTGATTATTTGCCTTGTGGATTTTTTACAACATGGGCGATGGTCATTCCTAAAGAGGCGGCCATTTCGCAATCATTTAGCATGGAGCGTCCTCAATTTATAAATATAAAAAAATAATATCCAACTCTTACTCGGCCCGTTGGGTTTATGTGATTCAATGATTATTCTTTTAAATAATCTAAAATAATTATAAGATAAATTATATTTAATTTTTTTATCGGTAGGAATACAAACTGAAGCTAATTAAATTGCGGGTGGTTTAAAATTTTTATCAACTATTGATAATATATATATATATATATATATATATATATATATATATATATATATATATATATATATATATATATATATATAAACGTAGTTATACGAATCTAATATCTCTAAAAATAACAATTGTCATTATTTAAATCACTTTATAAGTTCATATGATTCAAGAGTTCAATACTCCTGTTAATTTTTAAAAAAAATTATTTTTATTTTTCAAATTGAGAATCAAAATATTTAGAACTACCTGTCATATAAAAACTTCATTGAAAAGAAAGGGAATTTGATATTGTTATCTATATTATGGGGAAAATATCTATAAATTAACTAATTATGTAAAAAGTTTAAAATCGTGTATTAATTATGCAAAATATAAAATAACTAATGTTAAAAACGTCCCATTTTTGGACCTTGGAGATTAAAAGTCACCTTGGCCGGAGTCTTAGGAAGCTTTTTGCGTTGAGAATGGAGGCTGGTCCTTTGCGTGATTCGTTGACTCGAGTCTCGAAGGGCATCTGTGTCCACTAATTAAGGAGTTGTGGTTTGAGTTCAGGAACAAGAAGGATAAAATGCAGTGTCACAAACATGTTTGGTTCTCTTTGCATGTTCTTAAACATGTTATAACCATTTGATTTGTTATATTGGATAGGTTAAGAATTAAGGATCGGTAACGAAAGATGTTTATTTGTGGGACCATAATTTTTTTCTGGGCGATTGTCAATCTCAAGGATCATTTGCTCCTCACACTCATCCTTAAGATGGCCTGAAGTGTGTTTGTGTACTATGAGAGGAGTGGAATTGAAGAATCTTTAACAAGCGAGGACATTGTTAATTTCGTAGAGGTCATTGTCTAATCTAAACTTTACTGTAAAAAGTTGAATAGGGCAGTATTTGTTAAAAATTCTCTTTGTATTATTTAGGATCTTTTAGATTGAGTATGAATTTTATTAGATACTTTCGTTTGATTGTACCGTCTTACTGTTTTCTTTGGATATAAAATTTTATTTATCAAAAAAAAACCTATCTATCATATAAAAACTTAATTCAAAATGATGAAGGAAAGAGAATATTGTTCTAGGATATAATATTAATTAGAACCAAAATAATGTCATCACCTTTTTATCCAATAATGTCGTTACTATAACATCACATATTTAATTGATAAATATTTTTCATGACAGTAACTCATGTATTAATAATATATACTCGAGCATTAATGTAATATATTTATCAACGCAATATTTCTTCTAACTTAATGAATTTATTTTTTTTATCAAAATTTTAAGACCAAAATCAATAAAAAATAATTTTATTTAAACATTAAATAATTAATTAAAATAATATTTTGCTTTACTTTTAGGTCGGCAAATGTCCTTGGTTTGTTGACAAATCAAATCAAAACAAGTGACCTATACACTTAAACAATCTTGATTTGAGCTAATATCAAAATGAGCACCATTAGCCTTTAAATTAATTACTGTTTTTAATATAAAATAAGTTACAATTTGAAAATACGGAACGAGCTTCCAACTTTTTTTTAATACCATTTTAAAATTAATGTAGCTGATATATACGGACCGAATTGTGTCAATTGAGTTATTTTTCGCTCAATTCTAAATAATTAAAAATTAAAAACATTTTGTTGATACACACTGTTATTCGATTTTATTTATATTTGATCAATTTTTGATTAGATTTTAAGGTTCGTGTCAAGAAACATTGATATCATTTTTATTTGTTAGGATATGTTTTAGAATTCGACAAAGTCGATGCAGGAAAGCAACTAAGTTTCCCAAGGACGAGGCAGTCAACTTCAACAATGGCTTTTTCACTGTTAGAGTGCCTTTTTCGGGCTTAATTACATGGATCTGTTCTTATCCTTTTTGTTCTTTCTTGGAGGCGGTGCCCCAGAGAGAGAAAGAAGAAGAAAAGGTTTACTTTGAAGCATATTCTAATTTCTAATTCCAGACTTGGATTCACAAAAACCCCATTTCAATTTTCGAACTCCCAACTCTTTGAAGAATCGAACAAGAAATTAGAAAAAGTAAATTGTTTATTTTACCCTATTGGGTGAGGTCGAAATCATAATAAGATAATAAATATTTAAACTATTTTTAATCAATTATAATGAACTCTCATACTCCAACTTAAAAACTCGAGAAATAATAATAATTTTGTAATTAGTTATGTTTAGTTTTTATAAATTTTATAAAATAAATGATTAAATTAAAAATTATTTTTTCATTAGAAAAAACTTCACCTACTTGATCCCAATTTAGGAATGAAGAGTTTGGTCCATACTTTTATATTATATTTATATATCCCCAAAACACAAGGGTTATTATTACTAAATAAGAAATTGTTGTAGCATGCAAAAATGTCAGAGATTGCAGCTAAGTCTTTCAGGATATATCTACACATAAAATAGTAAACTATTTGATCGTCATGAAAAAGGAAAGTAGAAATGAAGGGTAAGAGGGTAATAAGTAAAAATAACTCTTAGATATATTTAATCAATGGTTCAATCATTTCACCGTAAATACGAAAAAGGTCTACTACCCCCATGATCATGATGTAAACATTTCCCTTTGCTTTATTATTTTATTTTCCTTCCTAGTAAGCAAAGCAATAATGTGATACTTTTATTTATTTATTTTATCAATTTATTAATGATTAATATCAGTATAATTTATTGATAATCTGTAAATTTATATACCATGCATCGAATATATATAATTAATTATTGAAGGGAAAAGAGGAAAAAGACAGAAAGTGCAACATCAGAGGGTTCCCCCCCTCCCTTTGGCTTGTAGTTTTGGGTTCTTGTTTTCGGACAGCTTTGAGGATTGAAGAGGGAATTCTTCTCATCCACATCTGTCTTTTTCTGAGTTTCATGAGCTGATCGATCTCAAAATTTGTGTATTAGATTATTTATATTCAAAAACTTGAAGCTTAATAGTGGATAGAGATGGAGGATCTGCTTAAGTTCTCTCTCTCTCTCTCTCTCTCTCTCTCTCTCTCTATGCATGAGTTATAATATTATTACTTGCTCTATTTGTTTCTTCTGAGAGATTTCAAAAAACAAAAAACACTGTCTCCAGGGTTGAATCCAACATGATGATTCTCGTATATATTCATTCATATATGTTAAGCCTAGCTATTCAAGTATCGATTTCTTTCTCTTTTATCACCTAGTTTTGTTTTTTATCTTCGGAATTTTTGTTTGTACCCTACTCTTTTTGTATGTAAAACCAAGATCCATGGTGCATGATGCAGATTTTGGCGGTTTAGTTCATTTGTTCATTGGATAGAAGATGAAAGGGTTATTGTTCCACCAACAACAGCAACAGAAACAAGTTTTCGAAGAGAACATGTCGAATTTGACATCGGCTTCTGCATCTGGTGAAGCCTGTGTTTCCTCAGGCAATAGAATCCAAGCTGGTTCTAATTATCCACAACGATACTTGATCACCACTCAACAACCTCAAACTCAAGCTCAGCCAGTTAAGAGAAAGAGGAATCTACCAGGCAACCCAGGTTTGGTTTTTGGTTCAAACCTACCATTCTTTTTTTTAGTTACTTGTTTTGTTTGTTTCCTTACGATTTTTCTTCTTTTTGAACTTTTTTACGTTTTTTTCTCGGTGGGTTTTGATTTTTTGAATCAGACCCAGATGCAGAAGTGATAGCGTTGTCTCCTAAAACGCTCATGGCGACGAATAGATTCGTGTGTGATATCTGCAACAAAGGGTTCCAAAGAGACCAGAACCTTCAGCTTCATAGAAGAGGGCATAATATGCCATGGAAGTTAAAGCAAAGAACAAACAAAGAGGTGAGGAAGAAGGTATACGTATGTCCAGAAGTAAACTGTGTGCACCATGATCCGTCGAGAGCGCTCGGAGACTTGACCGGAATCAAGAAACACTTTTCGAGGAAACACGGCGAGAAGAAGTGGAAATGCGAAAAGTGTTCCAAGAAATATGCAGTTCAATCGGATTGGAAAGCTCACTCCAAGACTTGTGGCACTAGGGAATACAGATGTGATTGTGGAACCCTCTTCACAAGGTATAACAAATAACGAACCCCCTTCTTCTACCCCCCTCCCAAATGAACACCAACAATAATCAAATCTTCATTTATTATGGTGTGCACTCAAGTATAGCTTTGAAACAAGAAAGTAATAGCAATATATACATTTAGCAGTTCCTAGTTTTCACACCTGAATAAACATCGCAATTTTATTTTCTGCACTAGCTCGAGTGGACAGTTTGTCCTATGCTCTCACAGTGAAAGAAAAAGATAAACTGAATGGGATGCAGAAAAGAGGGAGAGAAAAAAGTATTTCTACCATTGTCATAGCACTCTATGATCACTGATTTAGTTTTTGTTTTGTTGTGTTTATTTATTTATTTCTTCAGGAGGGATAGTTTCATCACACATAGAGCCTTCTGCGATGCTTTAGCAGTGGAGAGTTCAAGGGCAATCGATCCACTTGTTTCCGCTTATCAACCAGGCGAAGCCTCGTCCCACATTAATCTACAAGTAGCACAATCCAATCCCCAGGTATTTTCGCTTAAGAAAGAGCAGCAAAGTTTCATTCCTCCAAGGCCAGAGATTCCTCCATGGCTGGCTAGCCATGCAATGCTGGGTTCTGGTCCTGGCTCACAGCACCATACAGACCTTTACTCCTCATTACCATCAATATTCTCCCCGAGCTTAGATCATCAAGATTTAACACTTGATGGGAAGCCCAGCCCTAACCCTAGTCTTGTGCCCACCCTCCCTCCTCCATACCTTCAGTCCCCTCACATGTCAGCCACTGCATTGCTTCAGAAAGCAGCTCATATGGGTTCGATCATGAGCGGTAAAATTGGGCCATCAACTGTACCGGCTACTGTTGCTGGCTCGTTGATGAGACCCCACCAACCAACTCACGTGTCTGCTGATTCTGCTGGCACTAACAACAACACAACAACAGCTGGTTTTGGACTCGACTTGCCTTCACGTGAACAAGAACTGGATGTGGTGGATACTAGTACTGGTGGATTTATCCATGGCTTTGATCCTTTCGGGAACTGCAAACCTGCTTCTGCTGCCATGGCAGGCGGAGAAGACCATCATCTAATTCATGCTGACTCAGGTGCTACTCCTTCCCTTCTCCAAGACATGATTAATTCTTTGTCTTCTGCCACTGGATTTGACGCCACTAATTCCTTTGATGACATTGCATTTGGTGTTGGTGGCATCTTCAACACAAAGAAGATCGATGGGAGTTCCATCGACGAACCTTTCTCGAAAACAACTACTCCGATGACCACAAACGCTGCCACTCAGCTGAATGAAGGCTTGACCAGAGATTTCTTGGGTCTTAGACCTCTCTCTCATGCCGATATTCTCGACATCGCTGCTCCTACTAATTACTCCATCAACAACACTTCCCATGAACAACGAAACCAGTCTAAGAAAACATGGCAACTTTAGGTATTATAGCAACTTTTTTTTTTCCTTTTCAACTTCTTTCCAAACATAATTTAAGAATCTCTTTCCTGCAATCTCTCTAAAGGTACTGATATATAATATCAGTTCTTCATATTCATATTTAATATAGCCCATGTTACAAATTTTGGCCTTTTTGTTTAAATATAATGTTAGTATATTCTTCATATAATCTAAATAGCTATACCTTGTTAATATTGGGTGACTGATGTTTAATATATGAAGCCATCCTCCATAGAAAAGAAAAGCAACTTCATGATGGATAAGACATTGAACTAGTGGGCTTAGTCATCTAATTTAATCATATTTATTAGTTGTTTTTCATTCGTAAATGCCTTACGTGTAACTAAGAAACCAAAGTAAATGTAGTATTAATTAAAAAAATATTTTAAGTCTAATTAAACAATACAATCAAGAGCCTTTAGAATTATTGGTGGCTAGTTATGATTATGGTTCATGCACAATAAATCTTAGAATAAATTTCTATTGTTTATATTTGTCATGATTAAATTCAAGACAACTCAGAATCGGTGTATATTATTTTCTCCACGTCAATTATGATTTTCAACATGTAATCAAGGGTTTTCTCTTTTACATGTAAGGGTTGGGGAAGAGAATACTAAAATACCTCTTAGAAAATATAAACTAACACTGTACAATAATATACATTTATTGTGCAACGAGGAAATAAATATATACTAGTTTTTGAGATATATTTTTAGGTAGACAGGCAATACTTTTTTTAAACGATATACATATATTTAAATAACTTCTAAATTAAAATTTAATTTCAAAAACATAGGCAATATAAACATTAATGAAATAAATAATTATGGATAGGTAAATGATTTACAAATAAGAATTTTTATTCATAAATTTAAGTATCAAGCAAAGAATTTTAGTTGTTTCTTTAAATATATTTATAAATTAGAAGATAATAATATCTTTAAGATAATATTTATTAGTATTATCCATAAATAAGATTATTTTAAGTATCTTTTACCTGAGTTGATATAAAGTTGATTTTTTATACTAATTTGGTCAAGAACTTTATAAAAATTCATGTGAGTGAAACTTTAAAAAAAATTAAAAATTATATTTAAAAATAATTTAATTAAAATATTTTATAAGATTATAATTTGAAAATATTTTAAAATTTTGTGAACAATCAATATAAGTGCAGTGGTAAAAAATTTGCATACAAATCATTCTTCTCATGTTCAAATTTTAAATGGAAAATTTTAAGAGAAAATAACTCAGTGATCGAAAATGCCTTATAATATACGATTTTAATCAACTTTTTTTTATATTTACGAAAATGACCAACAAATTCACAATGCGAACTCCAATTTCGCAACTCAGTTTCCAAATTCGCAATGTGAATCTGTAAATCGCAACGCGAATCTGTAATTCGCAACACATAAGTCAAATTCGCAAAGCGCGTTTATTTTCGCAACGTAAATTTTATTTTCGAATTCGAAACACAATATTAATTTCACAACAAAAATGTAAACAATATAATCGTAAATTATAACCTAAAACCCTAAATCACAACTCAATCCCATCTCCATCTCTCACTCTCTACAGCGACATCCGTCCCCATCTCCGACGAAATCCGTCCCCATCTCCGACGAAATCCGTCCCCATATCTGGCGAAATCTGTCTATCTCCATCTCTCAGAGTCACCCTCACAATCATTCACGGTCAGAAATGGAAAATTAACCACCGAGTATTAGTTTTTTTAATTATTTTTATTTTACAATTTTTGTATTATTATTAGATTTTTCATATTTAAATTGATGATAAATTTACTGATAATTTCAATAATAGATTAACCATTTCACTTAAATTGTTTAGTAAATTCATTCGGTTGCTGCCAATACTGCTAAACTGTTTAGTCTTTAACCCTGTGAAGTTAGTATTTTTCTTTGTTTTATCTTTTGGTTGAAGTAATGCAATTTATTCAAGTTTTAATTTGTAGAAGACTATTTGAAACTTAAATTCGCAATAAGAAAAATGAAAATCGCAACGCGATTTTAGTTTCGCATTACGATTTTCATTTCGCGTTGTGATTTTCATTTTCGCGTTGCGATTTTAAGTTTCAGAAACTATTCTTCTTCTGCAAATTGAAACTTGAATGAATTGCATTACTTCAACCAAAAAACAAAGACAAATACTAACTTCACAGTGTTGCGAATTTAAGTTTCAAGAATAAATTACTACTCTTTATGTTGTCCTTAAACCTGCACTAAACCTATATGTTGTCATTTTAAATGTTTATAAAAGTGCTTACTTCTGGAATGTTATCTGATGCATTTTGTGAACTATGATAGAATAATGACTTGGGTGAATACCGTGCAAATTTGAAACATATTTGGCTTTGTTTTCACTATTTAATATCATGTTTGTTTATAGTGTATAATTTGTAGTTTTTGGTATATCTAACTTGGTATGTTTATTGTTTTTGTAGAAATTTTTTTCGGCTTCATTGACCTTAAGGAATAAATTAAGCCTAGCCACTACAATTGCGTCGACACTTACACCTGTACAAAGAAAATTATTTGAGGATACTTGCTTCGGGCCATGGCTGAAAGTACAACATCCTGGTGGAGATGCTATGTTGACCCATTTGTTTCTTCAAACCATGACTAACAATCTACCCGAGAGGATACAACGTGGTGATGAAGAGATATGGTTTCATTTTTCTCCGGCGTATACTTGTTTTGGGCGGGAGGAGTTTTGCTTAATCACTGGTCTACGCTTCGGACATGATGATGTAGGTCGGTACACTAGTCATATCGCTCGCCCATCATGGTTATCTCGGGTTTTTCCTGAGCTGGCAAAGGCGAAGCCGAGTTTACACGTCGACGACTTGAAAAGATTATTTGTTAAAGATAGTTTTACTCGGATAGATGACCTCGATGTTGTTCGAGTATGCCATTTATTACTTTTGCATGCCAGTTTTTTAGACAAAGAGGCCAGACAACCTATTTCTAAGGACCTAATATTATAGGTAGATGACCTAAATGCATGGAATCTGTTTCCGTGAGGTTCATATCTATGGAAAGCTACCTAGAAAAAGTTATCATCTACCTTTGAGGACCGAAAAAGTTTGCGTGGCCATGGTTCCAAATACACTTTGGCAGGCTTTATTTGGGCCTTTAAGGTTAGAATTTCTATATAATGTTTCCAAAATTATAATTAATTATTTAACAATTACTAATGTTTGTGTATTATATTGTTTGTAGATTTAGATATTTGAGACTTTTCCCAGCATGCGGACATATGCAATCAAAAATTCAAATTATATTCCTAGGGATATTTCCTGGAGAAGGATCCGGCTGTTGGATTAGGAAGAGTTACTACCATATACGACGATGAATGATGTAAGTTAACACAAATACTACCATATGTAAACAAGTTATTACTAGTAGACATTTTACTTTGTTTGAGCTTTTATATTGTTAGGAGGCCAACTATCCATTACAGAGGCTGACACCCACAGAGGCTGAGCTTGCCACTGATTGGTGGCAAGCTAGTAAGCGTTTTTTTGATGGCACGGATGATGAGCAACCCACACTTCGAGAGCCATAACCTCACCCAGAGCCATCACCTGATCGAGTCGATTATACACCTCCACAACGAGAGACATCACCTATTCCATCACATCATCGAGCCTCTTCTCCATCATCACCTCATGATAGGTGACCGACAAAGATGCCACGACATTTATCTCCCTGTTCTCCACCTCCATGGAATGAGTTAGGGGAGTTACGTGATGAGGTCAATGCTTTGCGTGAGGAGGTCGGTACTTTACGTGAAGATAATGGTGCATGGCGTGATGAGGTACGATCTTTACGTGGTGAGGTAGAGGTTTTACGCGATAACAATGGTGTTTTACGTGGTGAGGTATCTACTTTACGTGATGAGGTAGCCGCTCTACGTGAGATTATTGCATCGTTACAGAATGAAGTAAGTTTGTTTAATACTATATGCAAATAACATTTTTTCGACATTATTTATTTATTTACTAATTTATGTATTAATTTTTTTTAGCGGCCCGATAAGGTAAATGCTTTACGTCGGGTTTTTCTTACACGACGGGGTTCATGCATCAGACGTTGTGCATGTTCCATTACGTCTCCGTTCACTCCAATAGTGCAAAGACTCCGTAAGAAGAAGTCCAATTCACATGTCATCATTCAAGAGGCCTCTATTATCGTTCAAGAGGCCCTTATCATCATTCAAGAGGACCCTCCTACCGTTCAAGAGGCCCCTGTCATCGTTCAAGAGGTCCCTCCAACCGTTCGAGAGCTCGATTCACATGACAAAATATGTCGACATATTGATAAACCCCCTCAAGTGCCCGACATGATGGATGAGAGTTGGTATTCGTATGAGTTACCGGTCAGTACTATTCCGGTATCTGAAGTGGAGAAGAGAACACTACCGGACACAATTCTGGATAATACCCTTTGGGTTAAGACCGCAGTTGATTTTTTTCTACATGAGCGGAGCCAGGGGTATTACGCTGACATATGCAAAATCGACGATGATATGCATTTGTTTCTTGATCGGTCTTGGTGGGGTGTGTTATTAGGGGTTGAAGACAATGACTATTTCGACGGGGGGTAAGTCTTATATTCTTCTTATATTGCATTTTAATTAATTTTTTTTTAATTTATGAAATTCACTAATATATGTATTTTTTTATAAAACAACATATTGATGCATGTGTGTCACGTCTTCTGATAATAAGGAAATTGAAGAAAATAAAAAATACGCGATAGACAATTACGTCGACGTCTTTTCACGTAGCTCACTTGAAGGATCAGATATACACTTCATATGTGTTGGGTAATGGAAAAGCTAAACTTTATCCTGCGTGGTGGGAGGTCGATAAGGTTAGTATTTATTTTTGAATATTTTAAAGGTATTCATAAATAAAATTTTGATGTGCACAATTGAATTATTATTTATGATTGCAGGTGTTTATCCCTATTTTGGAAC